CATATCACTTTCACTTCACACATATAGACGAGAACATAGCTTTCTTCTACTACTGCTAGTACCTTGGGGTCCATAGGGTGTTCTCTTACTCGTCAACTCAATATCCAATTTTATAATTGATTAACCGTCTAATACTCGTTCGGTAATGAGTGTCAAACATTCCATCGCCTCGATACCCTGTCTAATAAAAGGGTAAACTATATCTCTCAAACCTTTCTAGTAAGGGACTTTCTAACCCTATCCGACTGAGATAACGTTCATGATAGGGTTCCCTATGTACCGGGTCCGTCTGCCCTTTCCTTGGATAACCAACAAATCTTTCACATACAAATTTTTATCAACAAACAACCAACAAACTTATATCAATGTCTCATATCACACTCATAGATCAATTAAACTACATTTATGCTGATGATATATAACTAAAATAACCAGATAAGTTGACAAGACGATTGAACTATAAATTAAGAACATGTGCTATATGAAAATCAAGCAAGTAGGACAGTACAAGAAAATAGACAGGAAATCAAGATAATTGTGAATTAATCGATTCCAGCTCCACTAATAACCTATAATTATTTTTAGAATTTTCTATTTTTTTACAAAAATACAAAATTATATATTGTTAAACCTCAATTGACATTAACGGAGAATAGGGTAAGAGATCCTTACCTAGATTGGTATTTCGAGACGTTGAGCTGTCTACTACACCTCCTAATGGATACCGAGTTCTTTGAATTTTTTTATGAAATTCAAAACACTCGTCATATACCTAAAAATACCCTAAAAAATTTAAAATCAGTTTGTAAAACTCATTCAGGCTAATTTTTGAGTTTTGGCACAGCGCCACCGCTGTCTTCTGATGCTAGTTCTGCCGCTCACGGCGGTGGTTTACCTCAGTTTGGCTGGTTTTGGTTGATTTTAGTTATATCCCTACAGAAAAATATGTTAAGGGCCTCGGTTGGCCGAAAAATCACAAAAAAATGAACCTATCAACGGGGGGATCTCAGGGTGTAGCGGCTCCGCCAGTCCTCCTTCACGGTTGAGGTTCTTTCTTCGTCTAGTCTGCACAGAAAAGGATGGTGAATATAATGATCGAAAAATTATGTGAAACAGAAATCGGAAAGGGGCTCATTAAAGGAATTTTGGGGTTTTAGCCATGGTGGCTCCACCGGGCTTTGCCCGCGGTTTCTAGCTCACTCGTCATCTCTCTTGCACCGATTTTGTCACAGGGGTACTCGAAATCGAATTTCGAGCGGGAAGAGAGAATTTTTACCTTTGTTAGCGGTCAGCGGTGGCTCCGGTGCGGTGGCTCCGGTGCGGCGGCGGTCAACGGTCAGCCTCCTTCTCTGACGTCTGGTCCTTCTTATCTGGCGAGGGCTGGCAGATATGTTTTAGGTTCCCGTGTGATGCGAAGTATTTATAACCATCTCGCGTTGATCTAGACTGTCCATCACGACCGATCTCTTCCATCTGATTGCGCCTACGAAGGAAACAAATCTGAACCGTTTATCGTGATTGATCTCGACCGTCGATTGTGCCTAAGTAGAAAATGAATTCGGACCATCTAAGTGTGCGAGATCGTTCATGGGCTGTCCAATCGCGGGGTACGCAGATCGCCAGTGTGGCCTCCCGCGTGGCACCGACGTCAGCGTGCCTTACCACGCGGCGCGTTTTGATTTGTCGAGACTGCTGACTGAGTGGTCCTACGTGGCCAAATTTTTTCTATTTGTACTTTAACTCTCTATTTCTAATTTTTCTTTCAAAAACACTTAACGAATTCAAATTTTCAACAATTTTTCTCAAAATTGTTTTCAATCTCGTTCCTAATTCATTTTTTTTCAAAATTTCACTTAAATAAAAATAAAATAAATAAATAAATTATTTTAAATTAATAATTAAATAATAAAAAATTTATCTTGAATTATTTTTTGTGATCGAGTATTACAAAAAATATTAAATAAATTTAAGAATATAAATTAAGATACGTCCCTATAACTCGATATAATAATAAAATAGTTCAACCATATAATAAAAAAGATGAATTATATTGAGATTGAAGCTTTAGTTGAGTTCATGCTTGTTTCATACAGCGATCATGTCTTGTTGTCTAACGTGATGTCCATGTAAATACTATTTCGAAAAAAGAAATTTATCTCTTAAATGAACATGATATCAGATGTTATATGAAATTAATTTAACAAATACTCCATGTTTATTACAACGAGAGAATTCAAAATGTACAATGGTAAAGTTAACAAAGAAAAAAAAAAAAAGATACAATAATAAGAACTTAAATGGAGAAACAAGAATAAACAAAGGGCATATGAGAATTTAAGCCAATATTATATATATGTATGTATGTGTGTATATATATATATATATATATATATGAGGGTTAATGACGTATACTGTTTAGATTTCTCATAGTTTTGCAGCGCAGTTGAGAGTACCACAATATGATCAAAGATATACTATAATATGTACTCAACAAAATTAAATAATATAGGAAAGACAAAGACGATCACAAGTCGTGTAGGTTAGAACGCATCTTACCTCATGCAATATGTTCATTAAAACTTATTATAACTTATATCCCATTGTTAACTAATTAATTAATTACATAAACATTTCACAGAGGTTCAAAATTTAACGGCTAACTTTTTACCTGAACACATTAATTATTTCATGTAAATGTCCGTAAAATTTTCATTTTAACTCTCAATATCTTTTACTAAATATAGAATAGTATTTACACACACATATAAACATGTATTATCTCTTTGTTTCATGCAAGCTCTGCAGTTTACCTACCACACTAACAAACCCAAGTTCCAAACACATACATACACACATATATATACATATATATATATATATATATAAGCTGCAACAAAATTGTTGGATAATTAGGGTTCAAATTTTTCTTGTTCATTCAAAAAACCAACCCAGAAGAGAAAGGAGATCTTACTTTTTAATTTGGACTAACTGATTCTGATGAGGTGAGTGTAGTTAGCAATTGCTATCAACTCACGTCTGTGTATATCTTACCCCTTATTTTCTTACGTAATTTCTCTTCTCATCTGTTTGTCTACCTTTATTTTCTTCACTCATTATAAGTAGTTATACAATATATACATATATGTGTGTGTGTGTGTGTCTATAGTGTATGTCTGCGTATAATGAAGGCTTGTTTCTTTCTTGTCTCTCTGCAGATGAAGTTTAGTTACCCTTTTCTGACATAAGCAGGGAAATCAAAACATGTGTCTCATACATATAATGGCTTCTTGGGTCTTTTACAGTAGTGTGATTAATTAATTAATTGCTTATATTAAGTGAAACCAGAATGGTCAATTGGGTTTTTTAATTGATTAATTAATTAATTAGTATTAATTGATTTTGCAGGTAACATGAATGTTGTACTTGAGAATCTGGTAAGAAGACTGAGACCCCTTGTGGGCTCAAAAGCGTGGGATTACTGTGTTGTTTGGAAATTAAGCGAAAATCAGAGGTTAGAAATTAAAACAAATATACACATGTATTCTCTCTGTTTTTCTCTCTATCATAATCTGGTTTTATTATGCATATATATATATATATATATATATATTTGTTTCAGGTTTATAGAGTGGGTGGGTTGTTGTTGTGGTGGAAGTGAGAGGATTAACATTAATGAAGATGGTGTAGAAGAAGGATTACTCCATTGTCACGGTCAATCTCAAGTGCTTTCTTGCAGGGATGTTATGGTTGATCATCCAAATTCCAAATCCTGTGAACTTCTTTCCCAACTTCCTTCTTCCATTCCCTTAACTGACTCTGGGTATACATCTTCACATATATTTCTTCTTTTATATATGTGTATATATATATAATGTTTGTCATTACTAATCACAAAAATATAATTGTGATTAAACAGGATTCATGCACAGACTCTGATATCTAATCGACCCAGTTGGCTATTCTCCCATAATTCAGATTCAGATCACAGTATAGAGGTGATCAAAGTAAGAAAGAACTAATTAATTAACGTTTCTAATTAATACATAGTTACAACAATTTTTAATGTAGTAATTTGCTGATTAATTAGCTAATTCTGAATTAGCTTTCCAATTTATGCAGGAAACAGTTGGGACAAGGGTATTTGTCCCTGTGATTGGAGGACTAATTGAACTTTTTGTTACCAAACAAGTATGCATTTTCTAATTACTTTTCCTTGAATGGTTAATTCAATTACACTAGAAGCATTTGGTATGGCCTTCATTCTAAACTTACCTTTTTTATTTTCTTGCCTAAATCTTTAAAAAAAATGATATTTTCATGATGGAACGCCTAATACATGTGTAATATGCATGTATATATATGTTGTTAATTAATAAAAATATTACAGGTATATGAAGATCAAAATGTGATAGACTTTATCATATCACAATGCAACATTTCAACGGAGCAGGAAACATTAATCATGAATTCAAGGAACATGGATTCGAATTTCCAAGTCACAATTAGTAATTTACAGTATTCATTGGATGAACTTGAATCAAAACCTTTTCTACCAAATGATCAAAACGATCATGATGATCCGAATGACATGAATCACCATGTTCATCAACAACCAGTTTCTTCTGCAACTGAAAACAGTATCTTGACCGGTTTGGCAGCTTGTGAGAATATCTCCATTGATAGACTCCATTTATGCAGCCCTGATCCAATGGACCTCTTGCAGCAATTCAATTACTCTAATTCAGATCATAAAATGAGTGATGCGGCTGCTGCATTTTTTGAAGTACATGATGATCAGAGCTCATTTGCTTCTGATAAGGCCATGATCAATATCCACCCTTTTAAGTTGGATGACAATAATAAGCTTCAAGACAATTTTGATCATCATGACACTTCAACAACTAAAGATCATCATCATCATCATCATCACCAACATCACCAACAAGGAAATGAGATCAAACAAGAGAATGGTCGGTCTGATTCCATCTCTGATTGCAGTGACCAAAATGATGATGAAGATATCGATGCAAAGAATCGAAGAGGCAATGGAAAAGGGCATCAAGCCAAAAACCTCGTTGCAGAGAGGAAGAGAAGGAAGAAACTCAATGATAGGCTGTATGCTCTTCGCGTGTTGGTTCCCAAAATTTCAAAGGTTAGTTTTTCAGTATCATATCTGTGTTATACACGTAAATAAGAGGATATAAGCCTTAAGGGTTTGTATTATTTGCAGCTGGACAAGGCATCTATTCTTGGGGATGCAATTGAATATGTGCAAGAGTTGCAGAAACAAGCAAAAGAACTACAAGACGAGCTTGAAGCTCAGAATGAGTCGGATGATGATGATGATGATGATGGCGCTTCCAAGCGGACAGGCATGGTAAATGGCAACCATAACATGATTAATGAGTCAGAGATTTTCAACCAACACGGAATTATGAACATTGGATCTAAACCTGATCACCATGTCAAGGCTCCAAATGGGCTAATTCATGTGGGTGCATCATCATGCATCAATAATGAATCTCATGTGTTAAAAGAAAGTCTTCAAGACTCTGAAATGACCAGTGACAAGGGACAACAAATGGAGGTACTTTCATACAGATCCCATATAAGTATATAAATATATATATATATATATTCTTCTCTGTATTTCTTAATTCCTCTTATGAACATAATGTAATATACGGATTAATCAACCGTAGCCTCAAGTAGAAGTGTCGCAAATAGACAGGAATGAGTTCTTTGTGAAGGTATTTTGTGAGCAGAAACATGGAGGGTTTACAAGATTGTTGGAGGCTCTGGATTGTTTAGGCCTTGAAGTAACAAATGCTAATGTAACAAGCTTTAGATGCCTTGTCTCCAATGTTTTCCAAGTTAAGGTAAAAACATCCTTCATCTCTTTAATCACGCTTATTTGAAGTTTTTGAAGTAAGTGTAAAATGATTGATAAGCAGAAAAGAGAGAGCGAGATGGTTGAAGCAGACGATGTAAGGGAATCGTTGCTCGAGGTAACACGAAACCAGTGGAGAGGATGGATGCCTGAGATGGCCAAGGCTAGAGATCATCATCACCATTATCACCATAGTCACCACAACAATTTCCTAATTCAAAATCACCATCTGCACCACTATCATAATTAGTCCTTATGTATGATCAGTAGCAACATTAATTTAGTCAAAACATGTTTAACATATTTGATCTTTTCTTGTTACTTCCTGAAAATTTCTCCTTTTTTTCTATGCTTATGGACTATAATGAACAGTAGAAAAATAACAGAAAAATTTTTTGGATTCAAGAATAAACTAATACAATTTGAACAAGATTCCAGAAGCAACAAGACAGATGAGCAAGTTCCAATTTTGACAGCCTGCAAAAGTAAAACTTAAAGATTTTGAAGGTGGGTTTGGTTCAGATTCAGGGATTTTCACAGCAGTAACATTTGAGACATTAATGGCGAACCTCATCCCACCAAAGCAGTGCCCAGCTATAATGCAGATGAAGAAATACTTTTTTACCTTGCTTAATTCTACTTCATCTTCTCCACTCTCATACTTTGCTAAGACACCATTACCGTTACTTACATCACATGATTGGTAACTCGCCTCTGTTACTTCATATGCGTTGTGTTCATTCTTTGAATATTTGAATACTAGAAAACCAAATTTCAGATAAAGTAAATTTGATCAAAATCAGACATGAAAGAGAAGATGAAGATAATTATTGATTACCTAGAATATCGCCGAGAGTAAAATTGTATTTGTGTGACCAGGAGCCGTAGTTGACATCTGAGTTCCATTCTTCTTCATCACCAACCGTGTAAACTTCAGATTTGCCAGGTTCTAACAAGATCATCATCAGAATAATTATGAACAGGAAGCTATAGTAATACATTATCAACACCTTATTAGCTATAGCTTGGAGTAAAAGCAATATATATATACATATATGTACGAAATGATTGTAGAATAAACTTCAATCAGAAGACATGGGAAAAAGGAAAGGTCAACTAACTCATTCACACACCAAACAAATACGAACACACACACACACACACACACAATTATATTGAAATCTCCATTGTCACCTGCAAACTCCGGGAGGCACCAACCCAAAAAATTTTATTTATTTAATGGGCCTCAGTGAGTTCTCTTGCTATTAATCAATTTACTCATTATGACCGGCCGAGAGAAAAATAAATAAATAAATAACATTTAGTAAAACAAATTGCTTATAATAAGATTTTTACTCAACTACATCAATTTTGAATGATTTAAGATTTAAAAAAAATATAGTATTATTTTTTTCATTTTAAAATTTTATTTTATTTATTTTAATATATTATCAATGATTTTAAGAATTTAATAATTTAAATATACTGAGATATGTCATATATGAATATGGCAGGGTATTTAATATTTTAAATACAAACTTTTAGGATAATTATTAGATTCTTAGAGGTAAAATTAACTCTCCTTTTTTTTTACATATCTATTTTATATATTTCTTGACATCAGAAGTCAGAGACCCACGACTAACCGGTCAAACATAAAAACTAAACCAAATGCGCTGTCGTTTCATTTCAGTGTGACTGATAAGCCGGTCGGTCATCCAATTCATTTCAAAAACCCTAATTCTCCAGACTCAAAAACCCCAACTCCCTCCCACACTGGCACCCCTCTCCCTTGCTTCAATAAGTGCAGTCAATGGCAGGCCGATTCAAGGAACTCTTGAAGAAATACGGAAAAGTTGCACTAGGTGTTCATTTCTCTGTCTCCGCGGCCTCCATCACCGGCCTCTACATCGCCATCAAGAACAACGTCGATGTCGAATCCATCCTCGAGAAATGGCACCTCCCCGGCGTCTCCCCCGAGGAAAACTCGCATCCAGTGCCTACCCCAAACTCAGAACTTTCCGAATCCCCAGACGGAGGAGGGTGCGTGATGGAAGATCGAGCAAATGGTCATGAGAGACCGTCAGCCATGAGTGGGGAACAAAAGAAGAGGAATCGGACGGCCGAGCTCGCCGCATCGACCGGTGGAGCACTCGCGCTGGCAGTGCTTTGTAATAAAGCTTTGTTACCGGTTAGAATTCCTATCACGATCGCACTTACACCTCCGGTGGCTAGGTTTTTGGCTAGGCATAAGATTACCAAGAACGGTGTATAATTTAATAATATTTATTTCAATGTTTCTTAAACATAGAACAAAATTTATTCTTCATTTATATTTTTCTTCAGTGTTTTTACTCTGTTTTTCCTTTTTTTTTTTTGCCCCCCCATACGCTCCTTGATATTGATGGATTAAGAGAAGGAGAGAGGGCAAGTGATAAATGTCAAGCTACTTTTTCTTTCATATGTTCATTATGAATTTTGATCTTCATTGCTTGAGTAGCTGATACGTTATGTTATGGTTAAAAAGCTACATGTAAATTGTGTTCTATAATTCATTAGAGAGAATATGTTTTAAAATTGACATTGCAGAATTTTGGATAAACTTACTTCCTATAGTTTTATTAGAATTGTGTGTTAAAACTTAGTCCCATAAAAAATGTGTTAAAAGAAAGAACAGTTTTTTCAAATTAATTTACCATAAACAGCTTACTTGTTCTAGACATAAATGGCTAAACACAGATCAACATGATTTTTCAATGTTTGACTTTCTTCCTGAGGTAGAGACAATAGACTGGAACCGGATTTGAGGGCCTGAAAGAAATATGATTTACGAATGCATCAAAATGTTTATTATATTCTTAGATAAATGAAAAATTATCAAAGCTTTTGTCAGCAACTGGAAATTTTGATAAATGAAAATTGGAAGATTTGTTTTAATGAATTATATTATCGATGTCCAGATCTGGATTACGAAATTTAATAAATAAGATCCGTACTTTCCAATATATATATATATATATAAGACCCATACTATAAAACCCTTTTTAACCTTTCTCCAGATATTCCCGATTCCCATCTTTCACGGCAAAAGCTTCATCTGACATTATCAAACATTATGTGTGCATAAATTTAAGTTCGTAAAATTTGGAGTTATTGAGTTAAACATATTATTTACCTGTAGACTCACTAGTTTCATGGAGTTACGAGAAGCCCTCCAAAAAATGTTAATATCTTCCTATTTTTTATTTGTATTAAAAAAAAAAAAGAAGGGATAAGTTTAAAATTAACGAGGCACCTCACAGAAATTGTAGCGGAAGATTGGAAGCATTACAGGAATTCAACAACTACTGTTGGGTATTTTTTTCCACTTAAATAATTAGGGGTTTCTGCCCATACATCTTCCCCATCACAACATTTTCTGTCTACAGTTACTGATAACGCAGACATACCAAAACTCACATATTATGATTTTTAATCATCGAGCCTAAAATGACGAAAAATCCCAAAGTAACTCCAAGTCTTCACACTTTCAATTCACCAAACACCTCTCAGAAAGAAACTTTATACAGTTGTTTTGTATTTTAGCAACAAGCAATGTGTGATTAATGTATCAGCAGCGTCCGACAATCCCCAGTAATCTGTTCATGTTCAACATCTACAGCGGGCCTCTACCTTTATATCAAGTCCTTGGCTTGACTCTACTTCCGATGAAGCTGAATGAACTTGTAGAAGGAACACGCCGTGTGAAGTTAAGTGAAATTTTGAAGATAGTATCATTCTTGAGCTAAACCAACTACTTAGGTGTTCACGATAATTAAAGACTCAACCAAGTCGTCTGATAGACTTAAGAGGAAATAAACATTTACATGTCAGGAAATCAAGGAAAAATAGTGAAAGCCCTATCCCACATCAAATTTCTTTTATGTCATGTGGTCTTACAACAAAATCATAAACAATAAATGAATGATTGAAAGAAAAAATTATAGGAGATAATAGTATACTACACATAGAGATATCCAACATGAGAGGGAATCTGGAGGGCACTCCAGTAATCATAACTGTTTGTCATTCTAAACAAAAAAAAAAAAAAAAAAAAAAAAAGCAAACTTAACAGTTACTCCGAAAAAATGACTGCCTTCCCAATACCAACTGAAAGTTGTGAAAACAGATCCAACACAATTGTTAAGGAAGCAAAGAGGGGAAGAAAATTTGTTCGAATAAGCTCTTAGCTGGTGGAAAATTCCACATGACAAAAAAAGAAAGCCCAGCTCCCAAAAATTCATAAGGCTTTCAGATATTGACCAGAAAAGTAAGTTTCCCAACATGAATCATTAATAAAACATGCATAGGGCGGCTCAAAAATCCTTTATATTGACAAGCATCTAAATTTCAAAGCACAGGTAGTAAAACACTAACCTTGAGGGTTTCAGTAACGGGAACTTTGCCCCTCAAAGCCTATACTATTATTGATGCAGATGCTTGAACTCATGGCAGTTGGCTCCAACGTCAGTTAATGCTGAGAAAAGCCTTGGCATAATCTTAGCTAATATCAATTTGAAACCAACTGAAGTTGAATTTGCATTGTCGCCTTCACTTATGGAAGCATCTTTACTAAGAGAACCTATTAAGTAGCCTTTCATATGGGCATCACAGGCCTTCAAGATGTAGTAGCCACGCTTTCTGAAATGCTCTTTCACAAGATCTTCAAAGTCCTAAATATCATGGTAATCAACTTGCAATAATTAGAGAAGGTAGTCCCTTATAGTCAAAGGAAAGACAGTATTTAATAAATCAATTTTACAAGGATTCCCACCAAAAAAAAGAAAAAAAAGATCTTGCATTGATAATATGCATAAGAACCAGTCACTGCTTTTCCTAAATAACTAGTTTATATCCATCATATAAAACAACAGGACAAGAGGAAGCATTCCGGCTCTTCCTATAAATAGTATGAGTACTCACTTTGCCGACTGCAGACGACATGTTGCAGAAGTTTAACAAAAGTTTTCTGAATATACCAGGAATTATATACTTCTTTCTAGACTGTGTTAAGAACATCTGAGCTGTTGAAGTGAAAAATGATTGAAAGAATTCACCCATTTTTTAAATCTTAGTTCAATGCGGAAATGAAAGTAACAACCTTGTGATTCATGAGTATTGTTGCATGAATCTTGTTTCAACCTTTACAGTTGAACAATTTAATCTTTCAATGCAACTATATAAAATGAAATGAATAGACAAAACGATATGAAGCATTCTTTCATTTTCAAACCTCAGTTCGTTGTGGAAATGAAAGTACCAAACTTATGATTTATGCGGATTGTTGCATCAACCTTGTTTCAACCCCTCAGTCAAATGATTAAATCTTCCAATGCATCCGCATCAGCAATCATTTAGAATAACATGGATAGATAATATGATTAAATAAGTATTTCAATTACTCAACAATGTCTCAGTTCTATCATGTGATTAAAGTGAATCTATCCTTTGTGATGTATTTTATTTCCTATGAAGTTTGTGATACATTATGCTAGGCAGATAAGAAAATTTTGAAGAAGAAATAACCTTCTAGTTAGATGCATGAATGATCAGCATATTCAGAATGATGGGAGTACCTAGACTTTTAAAATTATGTTTGGTAAGAAGAATGTTCCTTTGAAACTGATGACTCCAGCAGGGATCCATAACCACTAGCCGAAAAAAAGGCTAGAGAGATGGAAAGCCACGTGAAAAGTTGGAACCATCAGTATCAGATTTTGAACAGGCCGTTGAAATGGAAGGAACAAAAATTAAATGAGGACTAGGACCTAAAGATGGACAAATTCAATAAGAAGGCATATTGAATGAGTAGGAAGAAGAGTCACCAAAAGTAGCACATAACAAGAAAGATCCTTAGATTTCTCAATATCTTTCACTTAAAGAGAATTCTATAAATGTTTGGTTCAAAGGAGAACCCAGGTCACCTATTAAGTCTGCTGATGGCTCCATAAAGAGTATGAGACGCAAACTTGTCAATTTATAGATTTCATGTCACCTATAGGGCTCATAGTCCTAACCAACTGTGTCTCCATTATATTTTGCTTCTGCTTTTTTTAGATAAAGAAGAAAATATCATTAGAAGAGAGGAAAGAAAAGGAGGAAAGATAATGGCACATAAGAAATTGTTGAATATAATATTTTATTATTTAATTTCTTTAATTTATTATTTAACTATTTGATATTTGTAATTAGAATTTTATAAAAATAATAATCTCATATTATTAGAATTTTACTAAAATAAGAATTTTACTATCTATAGGTTAAAAATTTTATAAATACCCTAAATGTAATAATTTAAAAAGTGATAAATAAATTTAGTATTTTTCTCCAAAAACAACATAGTATCAGAGCCAAATAAACCTATTTTAGAGTTTTAATTTTAGGATTTTTTCTAAATCCTAAAATAACAAAATACATTAAGTTCATACTTAACTATCAAAAAACTAAACTCATCACCACCGTAGACGGAGTCACCGCTCACCGCCAGCCAATACACCGTACCATTTTCCACACGCGTAAGCCACACACGCCACCTACATCATCCAATTCAGCCCAAAAATCTCTGGAACACCGCCAGAAACGCCCGATCGAAGCAGATCTAGCCTTTCCCGCACGAGATCCGGCTTGAATCGCACATCTCCAGGCTTTTTTTTTCATGCAACTGCGCACATTCGGCAGATATGCCGTTCTACGCCCTCCGCCACTCCGTTCCGGTCGATCCACACCTAGAGATGACTCGTCTGCTCCTCTCGCACGCCACCCTAATCCGGCCACGCACTAAATTGCGCTACATTGATTGGACAAATCTCCTCCGCCACACCATTCTAGTTTTCCGCACACGTGGGGCGTCCAATCTAGCCATATTGCACATCGGACCACTCAGATCTGGTTTGTCCGCACCTGAGCCGAGCTGTCCGCTTCCGAGCCGCTGTCGAGCCAAGTCGAGTCGAGGTCAAGCTGTTTTGAGCAAATGTTGAGCCGTTTATGAGTTTTGAGCCGAATTCAAGCCATTTTATGAGCCGATTTTGAGCCGTTTCTTAGCCAAGTTCGAGCCACTTTTTGAGCCGAGCCGAGCTGCCTTGCCAGATAGATCTGCTTTCTCCGCACACGAGCCACTCCGACCAATCTTTTTTGGTCCTTTTTTTGGCTTCTTTGTGTGCGGATGCCTTTAATTTCGCAACCAGGCCTTCTTCATGCGCAAACCCTTTTTGACCAGCTTTTTCAGCTCCTTTTTCTAGCTCTTATGCGCGCGTCCACCTCTAGTTTCGCAATCCAGCACATATTCGCTTCTTTTGCATGCGAGCCACTCCGACCAATCTTTTATGTTCCTTTTTCAGTTCTTCCGCGCACATACTCCTTGAGTTTGCAACTTGGTCTGCAAGTTGAGCATATGTGATATCACTGCACCAACTTGAAAAGGAGTGTTGAATATAATATTTTATTATTTAATTATTTGGTATTATGAAATTAGAATTTTATGAAAATGACCATTTTATATTATTAGAATTCTAGTAAAATAAGAATTTTATTATCTGTAAATTAAGAATTCTATAAATACCATAAATGTAACTTAAGAGTGAAAAATAAATTTTTTTTTTTCTCCAAAAATCTACAGAGATCCTCTTGAACAAAGAAAAAAAAGAATCATAAGCAACAACATGAAAAATAATGTAGACACCACATCTAGAAATTAATCAAAGAGACATCCACAAAATATTCACGTGCCTTAGCCCAGAGAGAAGCCAAAAAGATCTTTCTACCTTGAGAAAAAAGGAGGTAAAAAAAAGATCTTTAAAAGTCTCATATTTTTCACCAACCAGAAAACCCATAAACCTACAAAAAAAAGAACTCCTCAAAAGAAAAAAACACCCTAACCTCCTTCTTCACCCCGATTATGGTAAGAGAAAAAAATAACAAGACAATCGAGAGACAAGAAGAAACCCAGATGACACCAAATATATCTAATAACCTGGACCAAAGTCCCCAGACGACATTATGATGCAAAGAGAGGTGACAATGAGACAACACATAAGTCAAGGGAGAGAGCACAACTAGGTCTGTGCGCTTCAAGCAGAATTATTTGTTTTGAGTCTATTGAGAATAAAGTGGAAGAAACCTTCATCTTTGAGGGAGCAATTGCCTTTAGAAACACAGTGCTGAGGGCCTCATTCTAACCAGACTAAGGGTAATGTAAGCAATTACATTTGCCAATTTTGTTCAGATGCCCCAAGATCATGTTTTTTGGATACTTTGACACTTTGAATAGGGAGAGTATGACAGAAAAAAAGTTTAATTTGAGTTTTTCAAATATATTTAGCAATTGTTGTCCGCTTTTTTTTCGCTAATCTACTAATTTGCTTAATACTATGGGTAAGATTACGACTTCTGTCACATTGAGATCTTATTAATGCTTTAATCTTTTAAAGTTTCTTTATCTGAATTTTAATCATCGTTAGATTAGCATTACTTAATGCATTAGAAACAACTTTGTAATCTCAATTCAGAGGCACCCATCAATTCAGTAGCAATCCTGGGAGAATTTTTTCAATATTCTGGTCTTGTGCGATGCAATCAACTCATAATTGATGCTTAAGACACCGTTATTCAGAAACTGTAGTGTAATATCTGTAGGTTTA